ACAGACAGCTACTTTTTACAGTACGGTGAGTACCTGACGCACAATATGCACGCACGCACGCGCACGCACGCACGTACGCACGCACGCAGTACAGTATAGACAGTACTATACACACACTATAGTTATTTACAGTAATACTAATAGTTTACGGAAGAGTTTTCACAGCACAATGAGCACATGCATATACTCTACTACTTTTGTAACTTCGGGATGCTATTGAATCAGAAAAATTAGCTGCCCATCAAAGCTGACTATATTCCCCAGTTAGTACTTATCAGTTTTACTACTTTTTACAGTACCTCACACACAGTACACACAAACACAACTACACGCATGCACATGCACGCACGCACGCGCGCACACACACACGTGCACGCAGACGCCTAGAAAAAACCATTTGACTTTTGCCAGCGCCGTTGCCGTGCCGTGCCGTGTGTGGAGACAGGCCTTTTTTAAACACCAGGGTTTCTTCTGAGGGAAAATTAGACAACAGTGGTAATGCCCAGTTTGGGGAAAAACGCACATGATGAATTCAAAGGCGTGCAGTAGGCACGAATGTGGATTCTGCAGGCAGACGCGGGGGAGAGAGGTAGAGGGGGTTCTGGGAGTCTCCCCCAGCAAAATTTAAAACATTTGAATGTCTTAGACTGCATTTGATGCACCCCGAAAATAAAATTCCACCTTTTAGTCTAAATCTTACTCTGTTAGCAGACCTACTAAGTCTCACGCTGCTCATTTCGTGGGAGACTCACGCATCTGGACCCATTCTCCCGCGCTCCCGCATGCCCTACGCATTCTCACGCATTCACGCCAAAGAAAAAAAAACGAAAAAAGGCAGCCCGTGACACCCCTGTTACCCACGTCCGTGGCTGTGCACATCGTGGCTCGTGCTTGCTGGCTGGGGCAGCATTGATTGAAGTACGGGGCGCGGGGCGCGAATGCACTGATTGTTACAGTCGCGTGGGCGTGGTTATTGCTGTATATGTAGGGGTGGGCACCGCGCTGGTATGAGGGAGCGACAGCAAAACTTTCCCGGAATCGAGGAAAAAGCTGCAATCGGGAATGACACAGAAGTGTGCCGGCACGCAAAAAGAAACGTTGCTGTTTCGACGATCAAATAGGATCGATGGGCCGATGCTTGCTGGGTCATGTTTATTACCGGAAAATTACGTTCGTCACTTTTTTCGCCAAATAAGACTTTCAATCGCCAGATTACTAATTTGTTCGCCATTGGCGAATTGGCGAGTGGGTAGCGAGGGCCCTGCATTTATATTAATTACTACATATGATATGTATGCATGCGTGTATATATGTGTATGATAGATATGATACATATAAAATATGATGCGCATATGTAAATGTATGTATACATGTACCAAGTCTAATTAGCCTGTACATCCCATGCGGATGTGTAGAGATAATTAGCATAGTGTGGGTGACACTAACATAATAAAACGTGTTTATTCGGGAAATGCGTGTGTTTATAAACACATATAAATAGTATTCCTATGCTATACCATAGCAGACTTCCACATAGCTGCCTTTCCTTGTCATCGCTCGACCGGACGTCACAAAGAGCCGTAATCATAGAATTAGAGTTTTCACAGGCCTGGTAAAAGTGCCGTTTCCAACACAGAGTTTGGGAGTGGTACAGAAGGTAGCGACCCCTAGTGTAGAAAATAAGATGTAACTGGGTGACACTTTAGACGTAATATGATAGTATAGCACCCCCTAGTGATGAATAATAAAGCCATTATAGGCATGTTGACTAGTGGTGACACCTAGGATGACGTCACGGGCGTACACTGAATATAAGGGATAGCACGACCGGAAGTAGGGAGCAACTCCTTTCTTTTGCGTGTCAAGACTACGCGACGTGTAGTTTTAGTGGTGTAGAAACTACCGAGTTCTGGGCTCTTTTAAAGTATATGCGCGCATCTGTTTTTGTGTGAATATAGCATCGGATATGTCAGTCCTTGTATTTTGGAAAAAGCAGGCGAGTGAAAAATCGCACACCTTGGCTCGCCGAGGGGTGTGATTTGCATCGGAGTGCCCGCAGGTCACGAGGCAAACTAGGGGTGTTCGGTGGCATGCCCCCCCGAAAAAAATTTGAAAACTAGACTTCATGAAATGCCATTTCCAGCATTTTGGGCTAAAAATTAGCTCTGCATTTGTACTATTAATTTTGACATTTTTTAGGTGATTTTTTTTTCATCTAACAAAATATCAGTTCTTGACATGTGGATAACTTGAATCACACATTTAGCATGTTTAGTCAAAAAGGAACAACACTAAATTTTTCAAAGTAGACTATTAAAACTTTATCTAAAAAATAATACAACCAATCACATTCGTCATTCTAGAGCGCTTTGCGACTGTCGTTATAAACATGTGAACCGACTTCCGGCAATGTCTGTGATGTTTACAACCATTTGCGTTTATCTTCGAGTTAATAAGTTAAATTAATGAAAAATAAAACACGAAAAAAAAAAAGAAGAAAAAATAAAAATGGTGTGCGTTTTGATAATGCTTAGGTGCGCGTTTTTTCGCACTTCTCGTGATCAATCAAGGCGCGCGATGGCGCGCGAGCGCGATCGCGCACCTTAAAACACAAGGTCTGATATGTGAATAATTAATGAGGCATTTATATGTGTGAACAAGCCTCTAGCATAGCGAGTTACAGATATATATATCACCGAACTCCATTTCATGTGCGCTTGCTCGCCGAGCAGAACGTGAAACGCTGTAATACTTAGTTATTACTTGACCTAGCTTCTTGTGATCGTATCTGGTTCCGCGTATAAGATCGTTACTGCATGATTGCGTATAGGCATCTACAAATAACGGAAGACTGAGGTACGTATATAAACATACAAACGTCTTTAATCAAACATATATTATACTACTGTAGCATCGACCAGTACAGAAAGGTACGCGACATAACATACACTTACATATCTAGCGGTGACGTTGGTAGCGATGAGAGCAACAGTAAATAAACTGACACGTATATCTGGTGGAGTGCAAAATAGTAGAGAGTTATTTCATGGAATACACGTTTAAATACTGACGCTTTGTTCATTGTCTTAGCCGACCGCCGTCATTGGTCGCGACAGCTCCATTGACCGCTGGTCACGCGTGTCAAATGACGCGCGCTCCCAGTGGCTGGTGAGGGCCAGTGGTCACGCCCCTTGACCCCAGGGCCAATTACGTCTCTGGCCTATGTCTCTTCACGTACGCGGCTTACAGACAAAGCTCTTTGTTCTTATCATTCTGATTCATCCTTATTATTAATATTTCCGTATTACAACGCTGGAAAACAAAATTTTCCGTTTTGCTCGGATGTGTGCGCCGGGTTTATGCGAGCTGCCTTAAGCCATTTAACCCTTTCACTGCTGAATACTTCTTCACATGTTCGCCCCTGTGTGCTGAATACTTTTTTGCAACGAAGCAAATTTCATGTATATGCGTTTAAAGAAATCATATCAAATAAACCGCTTAATATATCAGCCTAATTTCTTCAGAAATTATACTTGAGGTGTCCTTCTTTGTAATTTTTTTTGGGGGGGAGGGGTTTGTCATTATAATATATGACTTTTTTCAAACAACTAGTCAACAACTTATTATTGAAATTTATTCCAATTTAAAAGTTTGTTCCACAGTAATATTTACTCTTATACTCTAATATTATTCTAATATCACTCTTGAATTATTATAAAATTTATTATAATAAAATACAGACTATAGTGCCGCAAATACACTCAGTACAGTATATGCTTGCTCCTCCACTGCCCGTAGCTACGCTTCAAAAAATATAAAAATTCTCAGAAGATGGAGCCACAGTGTCGTACGATCGATTGGTACATTCTGTATGTGTTTGCATTGGAACGCTACACGCTGCCGTCCCCCTGCTCTGACCCGGGCAACAACCCGGCGTCAGCCGGGTCCCGCATATCAAGTCATGCACGATGTACCGGCCATGACCGGGACCCGCAGTGAAAGGGTTAAGCCAGGCCCCTCCCTATAATGCGCAAACCGGGCACGCCCGCCCCGTTAGGGAAAGCTCCACCCACGTTTCAATCGTTGCGCCCCGTTTAAATTACCTCCGTCCCGATTAAATTCCACCACAATAAAAGTTTGACAGCGCGGGAATCGATCGTCAAGAATTCTCATTCGACCAGGACACAGGACGCATGTATTTTTACGGTACCACTAATCCGTAAACCTCCTACACTACGCATGCACTGCAGACCACACACAAGTACAAACAGTCACCCTGTCCCAAACCCAACACTAACTGTAACCGACTCAAGCTCTCTATATTATAAAGTACCTTATATACGCATTTATGCGTAAAAAAAAACAGGCCCCGGACCCCCTAGTTTCCCCTCTCCCTCCCCTCCCCCCCCTCCCCTCCCCCTGTTTCAATTTCAATTTCACCCTCATCGAAGATGTGCTACAAACAATAGGAAAAGCTACAATATTTACTACCCTCGACCTTAAGAGTGGTTACCATCAAATCCATTTAGCGGAGGACATTCCGAAGACTTGTTTTGTAACGCCCTCTGGAAGCTACGATGATTTAAGAACCCCATATGGACCAAAGAACGCACCCGCCCACTTTCAGCGTATCCTCGATTACGTCCTGCAAGGACTCCGTCACAAATGTGCACTCGCCTACATTGATGATGTCTGTATTTATTCACCGGACTTTGAAACCCACATGTCCGACTTGGCGGAGGTTTTTGCCTGATTTGACGCGGCTAACCTCAAGATGCGCCCCAGTAAATGTGCGTTTCTACGCCAGTCCATCAATTACCTGGGTCACGTCATAACCCCAGGTTGCGTCCGCCCCGACCCAGATTAGATCTCTGCGGTGCAAAATTGGGCCCCCCCCCAAACACGCCCACAGCTGTTCGGCAGTTTTTAGGATTCGCCAATTACTATCGTAAGTTTATTAAGGGCTATGCCGATATTGGCCATCCATTGACCCTACTCACCCACAAGGACAAACCCTTTGTGTGGTCAGACGAGGCACAGACTGCGTTTCAGTCTCTTCGCAAGTGTCTCACAGAAGCTCCAATTTTGGCATTGCCTGATGGAAGTCGACCGTTCCGCCTCTATTGCAACGCATCCGGCTACGCCGTCAGAGCAGTTCTCACGCAGATAAATGAGCGAGAGCAAGAACACCCAGTGTTTTATCTCAGCAGACAACTCACTGATACAGAACAACGCTGGCCTACAATAGAACGTGAGTGTTTTGCGTTGGTACACGCATTACAGAAGTTCCGGCACCTCCTCATCGGTGCCGATTTTGTCATACTTAGCGATCATAAACCACTTAAGTATTTGCTGGAAGCAAAGGCACTGCGCAATGCCAAACTCCAGCGGTGTGCCCTGTACGTCTCTGGCTTTCCTTCATGCCGGCTAGAGTACACATCGGGTAAGTCGAACGAGCTTTCTCGTTTGCTTCCCGAGTCGTCTACGCCGATGACACCCCATCACTCATCAATCATGCCCACCACCTCATCGTCACACAGCGGTATGGCCTAACAACCCATTTACCAAGTGATACTGCCTTCGCCTACCGGTGAGGCCTCACAACCCTCACGACGGGTAGGCCCCATTATGCTCCATCACAACCCTCCTCACCCTGACGTGCTACCATACCCTAACCCGACACCCCCTCCCACCATCCCCGCTACTGACACCGAGCTCGCTGCCTTGCAGCTGGCTGATCAGCTTCTTGGAAACATCATACGCACACTCTCCAACCCTGACGAAACTTCCGTACGCGAGGCTAAGCTCGTTGAAAGCTATCTCTTGGTTGACAAATTGCTCTTTCATGTGCCGTCACGTGCGCAGGATGCTGAAGCTGCACCACAATAGGTCATCCCCCGTATTCTCGTACCCGCTGTGCTTCCCTTGTTCCACGATCATGCGTATGGTGGCCACCTGGGTTTCAAGAAAGTCTATAGCAAACTCTCACTGCAATATTTCTGCCCCCCGCATGTTCGCCGACGCTACGCGGTTGCGCACTGTCCTCGATTTTTACCTCATAGTCACCCTTCATCTTACCAAGCGATGAAAACAGTTCTGGAAATGGACTTTTCCACTTTGTAGCTTTGCCCTTGACAAACCTGACTACCAACACGAGATTAAGTTTTCTGATGGCTTGATCGCCAAGAAGTGGTTTCGTAAGGTCACGAACAACGTAGATGTCGGTTATCGCGACGCGCGAACCTTTCTCAAGTTTTCCACGAAACATCCTGACAGCGTCGAGTTTGGAACCCGCAGCTCCTACTAGGACCGCGTATCGATTTTCCACACGATGAACAAATCTGCTATCTTTACTTCGCTTTGCCACGAAAGATCCTCCTCTGGTTGAGATTGTAGTGCTCCCATGAAAGCGGATGAGGGGTCACCCTCCGAACCAACCTCGTTGACTGATTTGCGAATTCGGCAATACATTTTGAAGTGGCCAATTTTCTTGCAAAAATGGCATTCTACACCTTTGGCTGGACACGGCTTTTTCTCATGCGGCGGTTGTCCACAGTTGGGACACGACTTCCCAGCCTGCTTTCTAGGCTGAAACTGCTTCTGACTGCTACCACTGTATGGCGGTGTAGGCGGTGGACGTTTGGGACGCCATTGAGCAACTCGTCATTTCTGGACTTTGGCGACCTCCGCCAGCATGGGGGAGGCGCTCCCTCGCAGAATGCCCTGTTGCTTGCGAATGGTTTCGCTTTGGCGAGCCTTGTCCATGGCGGTTCTAAGCGACAAGTCTGCGTCAAGTTGCAGACGCTCTGACAATCTGCCGTCCTTAAGTCCTACCACATATCCCGCCGATTAACTCGTCATGCAGAGTCCGAAGTCGCACTTTTCCGCAGAGTGAAAAGAAACGTGATGAACGAATCCACAGGTTCACCCTCCTTCTGGAAACGTTGATTGAATTTTGCGCCCGTTTTCAAAAATGACATTCTTCTTCGGTACAAAATATCTATCCAGTTTAGCTTTAGTGAGTTCGTAACTCTTGTTCTCATCCTCCGTTAGATTCAGTGACATTAGAATGTCCTCCGCTTCATCACCCATTGAGTAGATGAGGGTGTCTATTTGTTCTGGCTCTCCCTTTTCTGAGAGGCTAGACACTTGTCTGAATCTATCGAACCATCTGATCCATTTTGACCAGGCCTCCGGCTTCCTAAAGTCGAATGACTCAGGTGGTTGGACTTGGAACTGTACCATAGTCACTACTACCGGGAAGGGCAGAACGTGTGTAAAGTTCCACAGTCAGAAAAGTCACTGCTCATCCGAAAATCCAGTAGGATCAGAGACTAACGGCGCGTGTAGCATGCACTACATTACCGCATTGACTTGTCTACCACATAGACATGGGCAAACTGAGCAAACTGGGGCATCACCACTGTCCTATTTACTGTGTCTCCGGTCTCTTTTACGATTCTGACACCATGTTGAGTCAGGTTTATCTTGTGGGCGTTAATTAGACACAAATAATGAGTAGGACGAAAGCCTTGAGTTAACAGAAACCAGCCATGTTTATTTCGTTCCTCTCCACCTCCATAGGTGGCAGCACATGCCAGTGCTGATAACTTGTTGACACAAGAACAGATAATTATGATAATACAACAGTAAATAGATTTCGTATTTAGTTAGCATTATATTTTATTGAAAAGCTTCAAGTGCCTGTGGTTGTCGCTGCAGTGTGGCTGCGCCAGTCGCCGCGACTGTTGTCGTTTGTCGTTACGGTCGGTCGTTGTCGCTGCAGTGTGGCTGCGCCAGTCGCCGCGACTGTTGTCGTTTGTCGTTACGGTCGGTCGTTGTCGCTGCAGTGTGTCTTGGCCTTTACTGTTTACACACTATTCGGGCAAGTCAATTTTGTCAGCGCAGGGAAAGTGGTGATTTTTTTTGTAGAACCCTGCCTAGGTAACGGAAGGACCACACTGGCAGAGATATATCACGTACCCCGTTAGCTCTAGTACTATAGCCCGCTTACATTAACTGCCGCTGGGCTATAGCATCAGCCATTACGAATGCTCGGGACCAACTTACTCCAGCCAGTCAGCGGGAACTATGTATTTCCGCACGTGGAGGGGTGGGCGGGTTGTGTTGGTTGTGGACAAAAACATTGTTGTTGTCAAGTAACAAATTAATAATAGTAATTTGTTCATCTTTCATGACAAACTAATATTACAATCTTTTTTGATCGCTTAATTTGTTACTTGACAACAACAATGTTTTTGTCCACAACCAACACAGCCCGCTCACCCCTCCACGTGCGGAAATACATAGTTCCCGCTGACTGGCTGGAGTAAGTTGGTCCCGAGCATTCGTAATGGCTGATGCTATAGCCCAGCGGCAGTTAATGTAAGCGGGCTATAGTACTAGAGCTACCGAGCAATATACTAGCCTCGAAGTGGTTAGGTGACGT